TTGCTTTCTGAACCTTGAGACAAGCTTCAATAAATCATAAATATATATCACCACACACAGGTCTTCTGCAAGAGAAACAAGATCTCTTAAGCACTAAGCCAGTCCAAATTTGAAATGTGAAAATATTGATAATACACCATTTGCAGTGGAAAGCATTTGGGATAAATAAACTATTTAAAAATAATTTGACTCTGGCACTGTGTTGTTACTATATAGAATTGCATTCTTTTCTATTAGGGAAAGTTGAAGGTTAGAGGAACTTATTCCTAAATGGCTCTCTCAGTTCTTGTCTTCATTAGTGTTGCAAGAGTAGTTGCACTGCACTAACGTCAGAAAAGAAATTACTTCTTTGGTCATATAACACAAGACAGTCAATGTCTTGGCATATTTATTCAGTCTGACTTTCTGCGTTTATGTAAGTATGCATAATCATTATGCTGTGAGATGTGTTCCCCTCCTACTAAATATTTTGTTATTGCACTAAAAGAGAAAATAAGCTGCCTTTTCTCTCTCCTGTACATTCACACAGTCCCTCCACAGGAGCTGCTTTTCAGCTCTGTACTCCACTCAGACATGGTATGATGACATCACTTACCTGCATCCCCACAGTTCTACAAGGTTGCCATTTCCTTCTGCCCCCTGCACCGTAGACACAGATTGCAGGTAGCAGGTCCCCTTGTTATCTGTTCTTCTGCCTGACTGGGTTACAAATTGAGGGTTCTCATGACTTCTTTCTTGGGTTTGAGAGTTTCCTGTATAACTCACAGAACTTAGGTCAGTTATCAAGGAAACATACTGACAACCAGATGAGAAAGGTAGGCAAGGCAAGTTTCTGTCCCTTTGGAGTGGGTGCCACTCTTCTGGTCCTGCCTAGTAGTTTGAAACCCACTAACGTAGGAGTTTTAATGGAGACTTATGTGAGCATGATGGATATTAATTCAACCAGTAGCTGTTTCCCCTCCTTGGAGGAAAATCTAGATAGGGCTGACAGTGGCTGCTTAGCTGGTGATAACTTTACCCAAGATTAGAATATGACTTTTAAGATTTTTTGGAACACTAAGTCAAGAAGCAGGGTCAAGATCCAATATTAGATCAAAAAGTAGACCTGGCACCCCCTGCTGCCAGGGTCTGGAAACAGCTGAAAGAAAAGTTTCATATTATCACAGATACATGAATTATTAACTCATCTTCATTTCTACACCATTTTATTATGTAAAAAATAAATTCCTCTAGGGTCTTAAACTCTTCCTGTCACTAATTGTGAGTGAGAGTGTGAGTGTGTTTGTGTGTGTGTGGTACATTTGTAACATGGGCTGAAGATGTACATGCTTGCATATGCATGTGTATGTTTTGTGTGTGTTACCTTTTGGCTTTGGGACTTATACATCTGGAAGTGATTTAATTAATTTAGTGTTTTCAGACAGGATCTTTCTTTCTTTTTTCTTTTATTTATTTATTTTTCCAGTTTTTTGAGACAGGGTTTCTCTGTGGCTTTGGAAGCTGTCCTGGAACTAGCTCTTGTAGACCAAGCTGGACTCCAACACACAGAGATCCACCTGCCTCTGCCTCCAAGTGCTGGGACTAAAGGTGTGCGCTACCAACACCCGGCCGAGACAGGGTCTTTCTATGTAGTATTGCCTGTTTCAGAACTTATACTGAATAGACCAGACTGGCCTCACAGTCACATGAACAGCCTGCCTCTGCTTCCTGGGTATGCTGGTGTGAACTGTGCATACAGTCATGCTAGTTTTACTTTTTTTGAAGTTCATTGGATTATTTATAATATATAAGGAGAGGTTGGAGGGTATGGTGATAATGCACTAGGTTGTAGTAATATTGAGTGATACTGTATTATACTGGTGCTCAGAATATCAGGCTCTGAAACAACAGTCATCATCCAGGGGTATTGCTTTGTGAGACAGGGTGATTGGTATAAAACAAATTACCTCTTAAGCATCAACCATTTTGGGACAATGATAACATTGTCTAATCATCTGTTGTTGGGGTCTTTGTAGCCGTCATGGCCAGCAGAGTAATAACGATCTGGAAAGGCAAGAAGGTAGATCAGCTCATCACAACTCAGTAGGTGGTGGTGGTTGTTCAAACTTCGAGACTTTATTTTAGGCATATAAGCACAGCACAATTGGTGAAACATTTCCTGGAGATAAATAACTCAGTCTAGTGTGCACAGTAAAGCTTAAGACATGACTATATTGGAACTCTGTAAAGTATGTGTGACGTCTTCCATAAAGATGGGTTCTATAGATTGACAAGCTCACAATACGTGTCTGGGGAGGATTATTTGTGGTTTGGGCTACACAGATATCACAAAGGTCACCAGGCTATTAACTACATCCCCTTCCAGCCTTCTGGGGGAGGGATGGGACGGGACAGTTTATACATTCCTCCCTTTGAAGGGACACCCTGTGTGTTTAATATTCCTGGTTTCTTAGTGCTTATCTGTGAGCACCTTCTGTTGCTGTCATGATTAGTTATGTGAATGAAAAGAAAAAATTTATGGTAAGTCTGTTAATTAGTCTTGGATTGATTAGTATTAGTATTGCTGGAGCAGAGGAGGGACACAACCATATAGGACACAATTAAGGGGCTACAAAGAGTGGGTGATGAGTGTTGGCCAAAGGCAGACTGAAGAGAGGTTCAGGTAGACTTTCAAATAATGTAAAGTAGTGCTATCTTGTTGCAGGCTCAGCCAAAGAGTCCCTACAAATCAAGTCCATCTATGTTCCTTGGGAGAGGAAAAAAAAGGAAAGAGTAAAGGTAATAGGATAGAAACAAGTGAACTGGCCTGATAAGTTGACATTGGTGTTAATGAAGGAGAAGATGTAGGGGGTAGGGGGTGAAAGAGCGTGGTAAAGATGGTTATGAATACTGACTAGTGTGATTGTTGGACTGTAAGCAGTCCCTTCCTTTCTCAGTCTTCTTGGGATGTCTGGATTATGGATGCTGCCCTAGTCTGTAGGTCGTGCCTCACAGACAGTCTCCTATGATGGTCATACCTCTGTAAATTTCTTCAGGGTTTATGCTGAGCATGCTGACCCCAGCCCTATTCTGTATACTGTTTGAAGTCTGAATGTTCTCCTGCAGACATTGGTGACCCCTGGATTTTCAGCTCTCCAAGGGATACATAGTTCTGATCTGAATTTCCTCTCGCACCTCCATAATTTCACAGTATTTTATTAGTCTGCTTAAATGGTATAGTCCTGGGATACTTGGCCTGAGCTCCTGACTGAGTGGCTCACAGTGGGTCTTGGGCTGCCATGCTGCCACAGTCTTAGTGAAGTGGCATCTTGTTTTTGGTGTGAGTTGGCTCTGAGGAGAGAGGAATTCTCTTAGCATCTTTCTGCTGCTGCCTTGGATGTGATCCAGTGGTTTGCGGAGTGTTTATTACTCTTCTGATAGTTGCGCAAATTAATCTCTTGGCAGACCATGCCGGAGTGTTGTCTACCACCTTAAAAGAAGGGAAACTTCAAACTTATATAAAAGAGAGGAGAGTGTAATGATCCCAAGGCATCAGACTGTTTTGCCAATCTGTCCAGTTTTGTTTTTCTGGAGTATTTGTGCATGCTAGGGAACAAGCCAAGGGCCTCTCTCATGCTAGGCAAGTTATCTACTGTCAAGTTCCCAACCCTCTGTTTATTTTAATTGTTTATTTTTGTTAGTGTTTGGTTGCTTGTTTTTCTTGTCTCTTGCTACAGTCCTAGCCTGAAACTCATTGTGTAGTCCAGAGGGGCTTCCTGACTCTTGAATGATGTGATTAGAGGCATGAGCTGTCATGTCTTCTACCTTTTAATTACACCAAGGTCCCATTGCTCAGTCTGTCCTTGAGCTCACTCTGTAACTCCATGTATTCGTTGAACTTGTGATCTCACTGCCTCAGCCTCCTAAATAGTTGAGATTTAGTTGAGTCCCAGGACTGAGACACCAGGCCTGGGATTCCAAGGATAGTTTAAATAAATCTTGCCCATCAGTCAAACCTTATTTTAAATTAGTACATGGTAATTCTTCACTGGATGCATTGAAATTTATTTAATAATTTTTGGTCGTATTGTATTTTCAGCTTTCATTAAAGTGATACTGTCTGTCTCAGACAGGGTGTATGTATCTTAGACTGGTCTCAAACTTACTATGTAGCAGAGGATGACTTTTTTTTTTTTTTTTTTAGTTTGCTGTTTTAGGTGGGGGCTGATAAATTTCTCAGTGGCTGCTTGGATCAGCTCAGGTTCCTGGTGTAGAGCATAAGGCATTGTAGAAAGTCTTGCATGCTAAGTCCTGAAGGTAGTGTTGAAAATACCCTATCCAGTACTGTGGCCCTGCTAGTTTGACTGTCTTCTGTACCTCTCCCATAAGTCAGTACAGAGCTCCCAGTATTCCAGTACTGTGGCTTTCAGTTTGTCTGAATTCTAAGATAGTGTAAAAGTGTTTCAAATTGGTTGTGAAAGAGAGACACATTTGACAAACTTGTCTCTGTTTACATTACTCCAGAGGCAGTGAGTAGGAGTCTCCAGCCCTTTGCTAAATTAAGGGGAGGAAACTTAACTAAAAAGCTAGAAATACAAGATTTTTTGTTTGTTTGTTTTGTTTTTATGTGTGTACTGTCTATTAGGTGATTAGTATAAAAATACTATTTCTAGTCCCGCAGTGATGGTACCCGCCTTTAATCCCAGAGACAGGAGTATCTCTGAGTATGAAGCCAGTCTGGAGGAGCAGCCAGGGAAGGCTACACAGAGAAACACTGCCTTGAACCCCCCTATCTCCCTCCACCCAACCCAAATAAACAAAAACCATTTCTGGGAGGCAGGGAGGGTTTAGCCAACATTAAAAAAAAAAAAATTAGAGACAACTAAAACTTACTTTTATCTTGGATCATGATCTGGTAAACAAACAAGTGACAGACTTTCAAACTTATTTAGAAATAAAGATAATTGGTGTTTTGTCCTTTTAAATAATTGTAAAGACTTGCATTTTCCTTCTCTTTCCAGTTCCTGGCATGGACGGAGGTGCTTTAACTGACACAAGTCTCACAGATTCCTATTTCAGCACCAGCTTTATTGGAGTCAATGGATTTGGAAGCCCTGTAGAAACAAAGTATCCCTTGATGCAGGTATCGTTGTGGTGGATTGAGACTTTTTCCATTCTTAAACTGTGTAGGTAGGAGGGGAGATGCTAGAGGTAAGAGAGAGGTGGGTGAAATGCAGGAAGTCATGTAGGGTTGGAGTCAGTGAGAGCTTTCAGGGTAGGGTTTGGGAAGAGACATGGCAGTGGAGTGTGCAGAGGGTAGGTAGATAGAGATTGTTTCATATGAATTGTCTCTATTAAGCTTGATCATGGTGGTAGTAAAATTTAAAAACATTTAAGTAGATAAATACATGCATATGCTTTCAGATTTGACAAAACCTGTCATCCCCACTCACCAAACCTCTTGTTAACCTTCTCAGGCAGCTAGCAGTACTGCTAACAGTTTCCTGAGCTTTCTTTCTATCAGGGAGATTCTACTGCACATTTCTGAATTTACATTTAAGCTGTTGTGAAGCCAAGGGTACTTGAGTGATGTTGTGTTAACATTGCCTGTACATTTTAAAAACACATTTTGCTCTTTGTAGCTGACTTTTCTTTGTCATAACTGTGCTATGCTGTGGCCATTTTGTAGATACAGAAGAATTTTTGTAGAATTAGAATGAGCTTGGAAAATGTTTCTAATGTTCTTTGATGGAAAACTGCCATGATCGTGATGTGAAAGTGGTGCCATGCGGTTCCCTGCTTTGGTGGTGCCCTGCTGATCCCCGTGATTTTAGTAGGATGCTAAAGCACTGACTGTTTGGTTTCCATTCAGTGCTGGACTGACTATAAGAAGCAGTACTTTGGATGATTGTTAATTTAATTATTAAAAGCTTATGTTTTAGTGTTTCTATGTTCCTTATGGGCTATTTGAATGTAAGCACTTCAGTAAGCATGCAGTCAGGGACATGAGTCACCCTCTCCCTTCCCTGTGTGTGTTTAGTGTTATGTGTGTGGCATAGGTGTGCGTACCCATGTATGATGCTGTGGAGACCACAGCTGGATGTCAGTTGATGACTCTATTGCTCCTTGCCTTACTACTTAGAGACAAGATCTTTTACTGAACTAGAAGCTCATTGTTTTGGTTAGGCTGGCCAGCCAGAGCATCCAGGATCCACCTGTCTCCATCCCACAATGCTGGGCCTACAGTAACTTTTTGACATGAGTGGTGGAGATTCAATTTTAAGTTCTTATTTTTGCTGAGCAAGAGCTTAGCCACTGAACTTTGTACCCATTCCTGAATTCCTAAATTTTTAATGAACAATTAATGTATAGTTATTTTGAGACAGGATCTCATGTGGCTCTAGCTGGTCAAAAATTGCTGTGTAGCAAAGGATGGATGACCTTTAACTCCTGATTGCCTCTCAACTATTCTACAAGTTCTATGGTCACACCATGTGTATTACCTGTCATATATATACTTCTATATAAAATTGTTTTTAAGAACTTGCACTCTGGCCAGGTGTTGGTGGTGCACGCCTTTAATCTCAGCACTTGGGAGGCAAAGGCAGGCAGATCTCTGTGAGTTCGAGGCCAGCCTGGTCTACGGAATGAGTGCCAAGATAGGCTCCATAGCTTATACAGAGAAACCCTGTCTCGAAAAACCAAAAAGAAAGAAGGAAAGAAAGAAAGAAAGAAACCCCAAAAAAACCAAACAAATAAAACTTGTGTTTCTCCTGTTTCCCTTTTAATAATACAGAAACTGAGTTAGAAGCCAAGTGACTTTTTAGTTTTAAGGGTTCTTAAGCTTTTTTATTTTTATTTTTTTGGTTAGAGGCAGTGGAGTGGATTAGAAAAGTAGAGGATTTGTTTGGCAAAGAGAAAAGAGTCTAATTGTACTGGCTTTTAAAGGTGTATGAAGGATAATACAAATTGAAAGATATTAGACCATGTACTGACTTCGTATAGTTACTTTCCACATCCTTGGATATGTATTGGAATTATATCTTTTGGATGAGGAAATCGTTTGTCTTGCCCATGCTAGTAGGTTACAGAATTGCCGTTCAAAATAAGCCTGTCTTTAAAACACCTGGCTATTAAAGCATTTGATGTGCTTCCAGGGAGTCTATATGTAGGGAGTTGTAATCTAAGCAATAGTAGGAGGGAAAATTAGTTTGTTGGTGATGTGAAAGAACAATTGGCATCATTTAAAAAGGAAGGGGAGGATTCAGGCTGGACCAGTCAGTCTTACTGTTGGATACTTTTAATTCTGTATTTCTCAATTCACATATGCATATTTTATTTTTCAGAGAATGACTAGTAGTAGCAGCTCCCCAAGCCTTCTAAATGACAGTGCCAAGCCATATGCAGGCCATGGTAAGATCTGATCCTGTGCGTGAGTGCATGTGTGGTTGCCTGTGTTTATAATTCACGTCCTAATTAGAAAATAAAAATTTTCAAAAATAAGATTTTGAGTCACCCATTTTTCTTTTTTTAAGTTTTATTTATTATGTATACAGTATTCTGCCTGCAGGTATGCCTGCAGGACAGAAAAGGGCACCAGATCTCATTAAAGATGGTTGTGAGCCACCATGTGGTTGCTGGGTATTGAACACATGTCCTCTGGAAGATTAGTCTGTGCTCTTAACCTCTGTGCCATCTCTCCAGACCCCCAGTTTTCTTTTTATATTAACAAATAGAATAATTAGAAATACATTAAACATTCTAATCATGGCACTTCTTGATTAATATGAATTAAATTATTGCTTATTTTCATAGCTTACATAATTGTTTTTGTTTCTTTTACAAGAAGTGACACTTTAATGAACTCTATGTGTGAGCAGTTTAAAAAACTTTTTTGTTGTTGTTGTTTTGGATTTTCGAGACAGGGTTTCTCTGTGGCTTTGGGAGCTGTCCTGGAACTAGTTCTTGTAGACCAGGCTGGCCTCGAACTCAAGCGATCCTTCTGCCTTTGCCTCCGGAGTGCTGGTATTAAAGGCGTGCACTACCACAGTCTGGTTAAAAAAGCTGTTTTGTCTTGTGTTTCTATCAGTACTTTGAATCATTTGTTTTGGATAGATCTTAGCAATGGAATTCGTTTTAAAATTATGAGCATTTAAATAACTTGTGATTTAATAGTTCCAGATGTTTCCTACATTTTATTTTAAAAAGTGTTCCATGGTAAAGTGTGTTTAGGGAGAGTGCATGCTCAGACACACAAACATGTATGCAAATAACCCAGGTGAAATATAAAATATTAAAAACTACTAATAATGATGAGTAAAATTTGCAATTTGATAATTTTCTGTGATATTTTATGTCTATAATGTTTCCATTACTGCTTAGGAATTTCAGTCTTCTGCTGAAGAAAAAAATAACATTTTAATGTTAGACTTAGTGTTAAGAATTACTTTGTAGCTTTATATATTTTAGTATTCCCATATTATTTTTAAATGCTACAGAAAGGTGACAAGTGATACATAATAAATCACACCCTTTTGAATGCCTTAAATTTATGTGTTACATAAAAACATCTTGTTTTGCTATTTGTTATCTTTTTTTTTTCATTTCATAGTAAATCATTTTAACTCCAGTGAATTGTCACTACAAAGCACCAACTAGAAGAAGGCAGAGAAATTAAGCAAAAATCCCTGTGTATGGTATTGTAAGGAATTTTAGAACTCCTTTAAGGGAGGGCATCAATGCAGCCTTTTAGAATCTCACACGTAGTAAATTTGTTGGTGCCCAGAAATACAGATGAAGTACTGAAAAGTTCCATGTCTTGTGTCCTCAAAACTCCTGATGTATAAAGTGGGAAGCAATTCAGAGTTGTAATGTTTGAAGAGTAAAGATACTTTGAGCCTCTGGGTTCTGTTTGTGTACTTAAACATTTAGTATTTTCATCTTTAAATATTTTGCAAGAATGTCAGAAGTCTGTTAATAAACTTAGAACTATATATTAATCTATGGAGTAGGTTTGAAGGCCTAGATGTTTAATCAAATCTGAGTCTGGATCTCTCTGACCCTGACTCCTTTATCCCCAGGATTTGGTTTTAGCACAAGTGTTTTCTATAACTACACTTCCTTTCCTCACAATTTACCTCTTGTATTTTATTTTTCTCTTGTTTTAATCAAGCAGGTTCATTTTTCTATAGATACATACTTGACTGGGTAGATAGCAGTATAGGCTGCATGAAGTAGTTAGGAATTTGTATCTCATGCATTGAACATGCAGGCGCATGAGTACTGAGCTTGCTACTGTTGTGGCAGGTTGACATGTCAGCCTTGCTTGTTACCAGAGTTGTTGGAAAACTGTGTGACTTGCCTTCCAGATCATCTGACTTCACCTGCTTCATCCTTGTTTAATGACTTCGGTGCCCTCAACATCTCCCAGAGAAGGAAGGTAGGTGACATTGAGATTCAGTGCAACTACCTGAAGTTTACTTGGGAGTAAGACCTTTTGTGGGCTGAGTGCTCTTCTTGCCTTTACTGAAGTTTTTCTTTATCTCTTTGCTTTCTCTCACTGCTTTTGGCTTTTTGAATTGGGATCTTAAATAGCCCAGGCTGGCTTTGTATTTGTGATGGTTCTCCTGCCTCAGCCTCCCCAATGCTGGATTTCAGGCACGCAACACCATGCCTGATACCTTATCTCTTATATGTGGAATTTTATTGAATCTATATACAAGGGGTGGAACATTTTATGGAAAGGGATGAAATCCTTCTGCTTGCTTTATTTTTTCTAAATATATTCCATTGCTATTAATATGACCCAGTGTAGGCATTTAAACCATATTTTAGCTTTATTTTTTTGACTTGAGACTAGATTTCAAAAGGTTTTCCATAATTTGAGCTCAATACAAAACAAAGATTTACAGTTTTTCATAGTTGACTCAATTGTTTAAAACTAAATTTTAATGAAAGTTCTGTGCGTTTGGTTTTTTTTTTTTTTTTTTTTTTTTTTCCCC